GTCTTGACAAAGCCCTGGCTGGGATGATTTAGCTGGGAATTGGTCCTGCTTTGAGCAGGGGGTTGGACTAGATGACCTCTTGAGGTCCCTTCCAACTCTGATATTCTATGATTCTATGATTCTATGACCACTGCCTCTCATGCTGACCTCTTTGTTTCTTTGTGCTCCCATGTCTGTCTGTATCCACCCATTTCTCTTAGAGTGAATGCTTTTTGGAGAAGAGGACTATCTTTCTGTTATGTCAAGTATCAGAAGGATAGCCATGTTAGTCTGGACCTGTAAAAAGCAACAGAGTCCTGTGGCACCTTTAAGACTAACTGTTAGTCTTAAAGGTGCCACAGGACTCTCTGTTGCTTTTTTCTGTTATGTGTTTGTACAGTGCCTAGCACAGTGGGGGATTGGCCTGTGATTGGGTCTCTGCAATTGCAGCATAAATAAATGATAAAGAAATAATAAATAACAAAATTCCCATCCAAATTATTCCCTGGTGTACCTCTACTGACCTCAGCTTCATCAGAGGACCCTTACATTTTAAGATTTTGTTTTTCCTTAAGACAGGTAATTTACAGATGTCAGAAATGCTTCTTTATTAGAGACATAATAAAACACTACTGCTGCCTCTTTGTAGAGTTCCTTGCAACAGTTGATGTAATAAGGCACTGTACATATTTTCATTAACATGATCACCGGGTGATTTAGCTTTATATCCCATCTTTTCTTTGCCCTTACTTTGATTGTCTTGAATGACAGAGATCATCACTCTTGCCTGTTAGGGGACTTGGACACTACCCAGGCAACTTTGTAGGTGTTCAAAACAAACAAACAAACAAGCAAGCAAACAAACTAAATCAACCGAACAAAAAAAAAAGCTTACCTTTTTTTGTCAGGTAAATGTATCAAGTTGTTTAGTTAAAATCAATTTCTGGAAATCTGGGTCTAGATGACATTGCAAGAGACATAGTTCAGCCAAATTATTAATAATAAGTATTATTTTATTAAAATAATAAAATATTATTCAAGTGTATTATATGAAATAAATAACACAGGTAACCAGTTTTTAAAAGTCTTTAGTTATTAATGTCCAGTATTCTTATGTAAGAGTAGCTCTCTACTCTTTTATGGTGCACCTTCTTTATGATAATATGTAAATTATCATGTCTCATAAATATGTTGCTTTAGAAGTAATATAACTGCCTCCATCCACCTTTTGTTTACTGTTCATTTAGACACATATTTATGGATACAAAGCTGGTTCATATTTCAACTACAGAAATCAAATTTGAAAGCAATTGTAATGGTGGGAATTGTATCAACTATATCATCTCTACCTCCTACCACATCCAGTCCAAATTCTGACAAAAAATCCCAGGTTTGCTTTTTTCTGGGCAGTCATATCAGTAAACCTATAAATTTAATCACTATCTAGGATTTACTCTTGACCCTGCTGAGAGTCTAAAATGAGTACTTTGTAACTGGATGAACTGCTGAGATGCAGGTCTACTTCCTTGTTTAAAATAGTTCAATCATCTCCTCTTGGTTCCTGAACCTGAAACAAGAGCAAGTAACTGACCTACAAGCCTATGACATATATAGATAAAATAAGATAATGAGAAGTGGCATTTCTACTGTACTGAACATGGATTTATTGCAGTTTATATTTTGTTTTTTCCCCCAATATGACTTTTCTTTGTTTCATACACCATACATTTGGTATCGTACTGCATTATTTTTGTATGTTTGGCTCTTTCATTAAATTCCTTAATGGTTGTTTCAGATTATTAATATGCGTAAAGTGTCAATACACTATGTAGATATTTTTTTCAAATCTTGAGTTGTGGCAAATGGGAGAGGAAATGATTTCTATTTCTTTTAATGTAGAAAGCTATTGTTTTGCCTGTCATGTATCAGGTTCATCATAAATGTGACAAATTCAGTCTGCTAGGTTTATTTCTCTTGTTGATATGTTTATACTCTGCTTCTTTGTTTATCTGATTTCTGGCTCTTAGGGATTTTGGACAGTTTACCTGTGTGTATTTGAAGCTTTATTTTAGGGTATGTTTTCTTGGTGCTGATCTGTTATTTTTGAAGTCCATGTTTTCTAATACTTTTATTCATTATTAGCATTTAATAACAACAATTAATGCTATTTCATCTTTGTGAATTAAATGGTATTATAAATATCAACTCAAAATTTTTGAAAACTGTATATATATGTATTTGGTTATTTATTTAATCACTGAGGCAAAGTAGTGTTACTGTGCACAGGCCACCATGCAACCTTGGATTTAGTTATAGTTCATCTACTCCATAGTTAGTGGTATAGTATTTTATTTTAATACATATGCAAGAATATATTTGCATACTGAGACTAGACGTTTTACAAAGATAAATTAGTTTGATTACTTTAAAGGCTGAGTGTGCATTTGGTAGACATATACACTTGTAACCTCTTGCCCGATATGCAAAAACTGCCCCAGGTTAAGAACAAGAAAACGATATCATGAAATTAAAAATTAGCCATAGACATGGTAACATTAATAAAACATTATTAAGTTTGAGTGCAGAAGAACGAACATCCTTTACTTATGACAGAAACTCAAATTGGAAGTCATATTCTCTTTAGCTATTATTGTATTAGATAGATGTTCGTTTTGACTGTTACTTTATGTCTTGTAACATTAAATGTATGATGCAATTGTATAAAAAATAGCTAAATTAATTTCATGACTAATTTCATTAGTATATCCTTCTGTTGATCTTGGTAGCTATTTATTATTAGTCTTCCACTAATTTTTTTTTACTTAAACCCAAATTTGCCCTGCACATTAGAAATAAATTGTACATTTTGTAATGCACTTGTCAACCAAATTGATCAGATACAATACATATTTTGAGTATTGAAAGAGAATCACTGGATTTTCTCTAGAAATAAGTATCACTGCATAGATCTCTTCACAGGCATAAATTTAAAAAGTAGTGTGCACTGCCCCCTAGTACCTACCTCATAGAATCCAGCAGGCATGCAATGGGGAACTGTGCCCTGGCCATGTTCTCAACTCAGATAGATTTTCCTCCATCCAGTCAAGAAGTGCTACCAAGCACATTGGCCAGGAAGTGCTGGTCCTATATTGTGACTGTGTAATGCATGGGAGTGCTATTGAAGGTTGGGGAGAGGTTCTCTGCATACTTCCCTCCCCCAACACACCATGTCAGGGACACTCACATTTTAGTTGTAGTTGTAAATATTTATTTAGTGTATATAAAAAAACATTTAACCATTTATTACAATAAATGCCATGAATAAAAATGCATAGACAAATGAGAACAACTAAGTGCCTAAAGATGTACCCTTATAAAATGATTGATTTTTGCTACAGCTTTACTATTACAGTTATTTTGAAAGTTTGGGACAGACTCATTGGCACACTTCTGCAACTTATTAATAAACCTGGCTCAGGTTAAGCCACATTTATGACTGCTTTTCATCTCCAGAGTGAAACAAAGCAGCTGGAGCATTACTGATGAAACTATTCCTTAATTAACTCATTCATCCTTTAGCTGCTTTCATCAAGACTTTTGCTTTAGTGCTGTGTCAATGGTATTAGAGCTCGGAGCTTCTCCACACAACACGAAAACTAGCTTTGACACAACACTGAAGCAAACACTTCGGTGGTTAGAGCTGCCAATTAGATGGTGTAAATGCACATTAAAGTTTGTCATTACAATAGGTAGCATGAGTTTAGGAAGACTGCTTGAATGAGAAAGCTATGAGTAGTTTATGCAGATGATCCACACACACACAAAAGAAAAAAAAGATACCAAACTGTAACATCATATATGTTTCTTAATTCACATATTTTAGAGAAACAGTGTCACAATTATTTGTCTTAGGGTACGTCTACACTATGGGATTAATCCGAATTTATATAATTCGAATTTTGGAAACAGACTGTATAAAGTCGAATGTATGCGGCCACACTAAGCACATTAATTCGGCGGTGTGCGTCCATGTACCGGGGCTAGCGTCGATTTCCGGAGCGTTGCACTGTGGGTAGCTATCCCATAATTCCCGCAGTCTCCTCCGCCC